TCAGCTGTGCTTTTTTTCTGTTCACGCCTTCTCTCTGGATTGGACTTGTACACTTTCTTGTGTTTAGATAACCATTCTTCTTTCTCTGATTTGCATTTGTACCCCATGACAACCTGCTCCAGGCATTGTGGGGTAAGCTCATAGCTCTGTGCTGGAGTGGCATGAGCTTGGCACTTGCCTGTTCACTGTGTCTCCACACATTACAGCTCCCTGACCTCAAACAGCGTTTGAACAGACCAAACACACGTCTTTGGCTGCCATCCAGAGTTTGACTTCTGCTTCCCCTATAATGCCATACAAACACTCTATCAAATAAATTCTCAGGAAGTAAAAGGAACAAATTCCTCGTTCTGCATGATCGTAGAGAATGGAGACAGTTTTCAGCTGACCACCTGGCTTGCTGCCCATGGCACAGGAAAACCAAACTACAGAGCATCCCTAGGGCAGGGTATTCTAGTAATCAGAGACAATTCTCCGTGTGTGAGCTTTGCACATTTATATCCATTGATGCTTTTGGGTTCCATCAAATACTACTTTTACATCCTGCTGGGTGATATATTAGTATATGTTATGAAGTATTTGAGCCTCGCCTTGATGTTCTGTTTAGTAGGCTTGCAGTGCTAACAGTGGAAAGGATCCTTCGTGTGTATTAACATACTTGTATACATGCGGGTGTATGTATGTGTGCAAACATGTGGGTGTATGTATGTATGTATGTCTGTGCATAGGCGTGTGTCTATGCGAGTGCAGAGTGATGAGTACCTTTCTTTAGAAATTATAAAATCCTTAGCATTTAGGATTGAATCAGGAAGGAGACGGCATATTGAAATTAGAGTCCACTAGGGAGGGGGTGGGCAGAAGGTGGAGCAGAGTGAAGCAATGAAGGGCTGATGAGGCCAGGAAGGGGTGGCCGGTGGGGAAGCTGCCTTCAGGGTGAGCTCAGTACAGAGATGCAGGTGGCCAGGCGAGGCACCTTGTCCCAGTCCGTTCCCCTTCTCTCTATCACTCATTCCCCATTGACTGTCCTCCATCAGAAGCCACAGTTGGAAGGGCAATAAGTCCTTTGTTTTGGCTTCTAGTGACTGAACGTGACCTGGTTGGAAGGCACCAGAAAGGCCTCTGGAACATTCCCACCATATGGGTCCAGTTATTGCTGACAGAGGCCTAAGAATATACAGAAAATGTACTTCCATTTTTAAAATAAAAGAATTGATGTATGATTAACATGCAGTAAACTGCACATACTTTAAGCATACATCTGGATACATTTTGATGCTTTTTTTTTTTTTAATCTACCTGTGAAACCATGATAGTGAATTTATCATACTTTAACATTTTAGATAGTCCATATGGTTCTTTTTGGAAATGACGGAAAGCTACTTTGGAGTCAAGCCACGATTGGCACAATTTCAAAAGTGTTGGTGCTGACGAAATACACAGAAAATAAAATCCAAAGTTCACTAGGAGTGCGAGTGTATATCACAGTGGTTCATCCTCAGCCTGCAAACTAATGATTCCCACACAAAACAGCAAAAAATGGTAGGTTGGTGGGGCAGGCCTGTAATCCCAGTTATGCAGGAGGCCGAGGCAAGAAGATCACACATTCAAGGCTAGCCTGGGATACAGAGTGAGTTCCCTGAGAACTTTAGTGAAACCCTGTCTCCAAACATAAAGAGAGCTGAGCATGTACCTCAGTGGGAGAGCATGTGCAAGGCTCTGGGTTCAATCCCAGCTCCACACACATTCTCATAGGACTTGGGAGGAAACTCTTTCATCAGAGTTTGTAGTAAAAAAGAAAACAAAATTAAGTTTGGAAGGTCTTCTGGTCTGGATTTTTGCATTTTTTTATTGCCAAATATTTAAAACAAGACATGGGACTGGACAATTGGCTTAGCAACTAAGAGTGTTTGCTGCTCTTCCAGAGACCCTGAGTTGAGATCCCAGCACCCAGCTCTGCCAGCTCTCAACTGCCAGTAATGTCAGCGTCAGGGACTCAGTACTCTCTGCTGGCCTCTGCAATCTCTACACTCAAGTTCACAAGCACCCCCCACCTGACACACACACACACACACACACACACACACACACACACACACACTATAATTTAAAAATAATGAAGATAAGGGCTGGAGAGATGGTTCAGCTGTTAAAGGCTAAGAACAAAACCAACCCAAATGGAAGTCTGTGGATCTGCATGGTCTGAGCGGTTAGCAATTGACATTTCGAGAAAAACAGTGCTAAATGTGTGCTGCAGTTCTGGTGGGACGGTAGACCTGAAGTGTGAAGTTCCAGTGTGTGCATTGTATATGATAGTCATATGCAAAACACAGTCCAGGAAACAGGCTCAAGATTGGGCAAAGAGCTCCGTAAAGCCTCAGTCCTTGAGGAAGCAGAGCGTCCCGAGGGGTGGTGGTTAAATTTGGCATCCAGCTTGATAGTACCGGTGAAGAGGGAACCACAGTTGACGAATGTCCTCCGAGGGCATGACCATGGGCATGTCTCGGGCATTTCCTTGATTGTTATTGATGTAGCCTGGGCCATCCTGCTGTGAATAGTGCCAGCGTTAGGCAGGTGGGCCTCACCTCTATAAGAAAGGTAGCCGAGCAGGCCTGAGAAAGCAGCCAGTACGTAGTGTTCCTCCGTGGTCTCTGCTTCAGTTCCTGTCTCCGGGTTCTCAGCATCCTTCTGTGACAGGCTGCAGTCAGTCCATCACAGGGTGGTCTGGTCAGTGTTTTACCCCATCAACAGAGAAGCGCCCTAAGGGAGGAGGGGAGCTGTTACTGTCACCGGTGTTGAATATTTAATGTGCATTTGGCATTCTATATCACTTCATTAATCCTGCCCAAACCACAGGGAATAGATACTGATGAAGATACAGATGAAGATAGCCTTACAAATGTTAAGACTGAAGTGAGTCACACAAGCCCATATCTTTCTGTCTAAAGGTCACAGAGCTTGTACGAGAGACAGCCACGATGGATTTAGATTCCTGTTTTATCCCATTCTGCATTATATTATGTACCATGCCAATCACCCCAAAGCACACTGAAGGAATTATTAGCAGCAAGTTCCTTGATACCCACCCACCAGACTGGGGTGCTGAAGTCCTACCTGGGGAGAGCTGGCACCCACAGCCTTCACTGACCTCAGAGTCCTGTGTATCAAAGGCAATGGTTCTCAACCCGTGGGTCACAACTCCTCTGGGGGTCTCATATCAGATATCCCGCATACCAGACATTATTATTCATAACAGTAGCAAAATTACAGTTATGAGGTAGCAATGAAAGTCATTTTATGGTTGGGGCTCACCCCAGCATGAGGAACCGTGTTAAAGGGCCGCAGCATTGGGAAGGGTGAGAACCACGGCTCTAAGGAAATCATCATCTCCAAGGGAAGAAGGCCAGGGCCAGTGGAAGACTGCTTCGTCCATCCTCAGGAGTATGGTAGCATCTGTCAGCACAAGAGTTCAGCCCAGACTCCTAGGCTTCTCTTTGCTGGCTTTCAAATGAAACAGGCAAGTCCAGAGTACTCTCTAAGCCCAGGGTGAGGGATGGTGTCACTTCCATCTGTACACAGCTGACTCTCACACACCTCTTTCAGAGACGTGGTCTTTGGCCACCTGTCTCATGTCACTGGTCACCATCTCTCCTGTTTCTTCAGAACAATAGTCCTTATCGGACCGTAGAGCAGCCATTGCCAAACCTTTTTGGTCTTAGGATATTTGCTCTTGCTTTAAAAAGTATCGAGGACCAAATGACTAAACACTTAGACAAATCATGCCATTAGCAGTTTACTATAACAGAAAAGAGGAAGCATTTATTCAGTGAAAATGGCAATAATAGGACCATTATGTGTTATCAAAAACAAAGTATGAAAAGATGAGTGTGCTTTCTACAACCTAAGCCATGACGCTTAGCATTATTGGATGCTTCTACTCCCTCTGTTCATAATAGATAGCTAGGTTGTTGAACAGCTTCTGCCATTCAACCTGCATGACTTAAATATGTTGTTTTAGGTAAAAGTTGATGAAGAAAATCTGGTCTCATAAAGGCTTGTAAAGCCCCTTCTTATGGAAAGGGGAAAGATACTTTAATAGTTCTTTCATTTATAGGCAGTGTCCAATCAATCTATCATGGTTGAGCTTAATACTTTTCAACTTTATCACTGTACAGAAATCGAGCCCACATAATCATTCTGTTCACTTCCAGGATGGTGTTCATGAAATCACAGGAAGCATTCAGCACGTTACCGTAAAGTAGGCTCTGTGTGTAAATGCTGAGGGTGTGTAAGGTGGGCTAGTCTAAGTGACAATGTCCTCCAGGCTAGCTCTACTAAGTGCATTTTACAATTTACGATAGCTTCAATTTGTGGAGGATTTATTAGGTGTATATTCCCACTAAAATTCAAGAAACTTCTGAAATTATAGAAATTAGAGTTTTACTATTCTAAAACACAAGTCTTTGTCTCCTAATGCTGGAGGCTGTGTGGGCTCTGTGCCCTGGAAGTGCATTTGTAAGCCATTCCCAAACAGCAGTCAGCGGGTTTCTGTCTTGAAGAAAGGATCAGTGTCTTTCTCAGTTATGGTTTATGTAAATATATAAAGTCAAATAAGAATCACAAGCCCTCAGTTTCATCATACTGTTAATAAGTTTCAAAACAAAACAAAACCATCAAGTCCTCCAAGAATCAAAATGCTCCTTCTAATCAGATTTCAGCTTCTTACATGCAGTGGGTTTGGAGTCCTTTTCCTTGCTAGGTTAAATTACCCATTCTGGACATGGTGCCTGGATAAGTATTTGTTGAGAATATTGATTGTTGAAATGCTTGCATTTGTGCACCCAATTCCTATGTGTGTCCATTCTCTTGTTGTGTCACTGGGGGGACTTGCCTTTGAGAACACACCAGGGCACCCAGATCCCATGACTTAGGTGGCTGCTATGTCCACTCCCTCAGAGTGTTTCCAGGGCTTTAATCCCCAGTTCTGTGTTTCTCTCTTTAAGATCCACACAGGCTTACAGCATCTCCTCATCAGGGTCTGTCAACCCAGCTGTGTTCCGTTGGATGAAAAACTTCTGCCCCAGCTCCTGAAGGAAGCAGGCTATGCTACGCATATGGTCGGAAAATGGCACCTGGGAATGTGCCAGAAAGAATGCCTGCCAACGCGCCGAGGATTCGATACCTACTTCGGTAATGGAAATGTATATGTTTCTTTTACAACACAGACCTACTGCAACCAGCTCTTAAAACACACGCAAGTGTCATCAAACAAAATGACTGGAAACTTGAATAGAGTAAATCAGCCAGCACTGTAGTTGGGGTGGGTTTCAGATGATCCCTCCACAAGGCAGCTCCGTGCCGAGCTCTGGGTGGGCATGTACCCAAAGCAAGGTAGTTGCCTTTGCCGCAGCACCAAAGGGAAAGCATTGTATCAGAGACCACTGTGCACTCTAGAATCTTCTACCTAAAGATGGTAGGGGTGGAGTTTTGTGGCATTAGAGGCAGACTTTGTGTTTCCTTCTCTAAAGTTCACATGTTTTCTCCCTGTGGCCTGTGTTCAAAGCCCGCTCTCCCAGGGAGAGGATGACTCACTTTCCCTGGACATCTCCTACCTTTGAGATCTGTTTCTGAAATGATTAGGTTGGAGAAAACCAATTTAAAAAATTAATAACTATAAAAAGGATAATAAAAATGGTAGTGGGAGATCATAAAGTGATAACAAGAAACTGGAGAAGCCCTCAGAAATACACGTGAAACCTAATGTTTGTTTTAAAGTGTGGCACTACATAAGTCTATAAGTCTATTATAAACTCTGCAGTAATTACTAACCTGTTTGCCACTGAGCGTTTTTCTGTCAAGTTCTTCTTATATTAAGCTGTCTGTTTAGTAACCTCTCTCCTTCCCTCCCTCCCTCCTTCCCTTCCTCCTTCCCTCCCTCCTTCCCTCCTTCCCTTCCTCCCTCCATCTATCCCATCTCCTTCTTCCAAACTGAATACTTAACATTACATTTAAGTAAACTAACAAAATTGAAGTGGCTGGTAAGACATAGAATAATGTAAACTCATCAAATTGAAAAAAAAAATAGTGAAAAGCTGCATGGCTCCACATTTGAGTCCAAGACTGGAGTTTTCTTATGTTGGGGGGGGGAAGTAAGGGTAGAGGAGGAGGCTGCAAGAGGTCGTTGTTACAAGCTAAGTGGACAGTAGGTGTTGAAGAAGCAACTCGTAGCTGTGAGAGAATCTTCTTGGGAAGAAGGTGGAGTAGAGGGCGCCACTGTAATCATAGATGGCTTCCTTGTAGCTTGTTTTTAGGTATTTGCTTCCATGTGAGGGAAGACAAAGCAGAGTTCAGAAAAAGGATGGGTCTGCATACTCTTGGAGGAAGCCTAGCACTTGGATCTAAAGCCGAGGTCAAGACAGGAAAGGATGTGGGAGAGCAGGTGTTGCTGTCTCACCCAGGGTGCTACAGCACTGCTGGCCAGCCCGGACATTCTTTCTGAGTCTGGACAAGTCTTTGGTGCCTCAAATGGCTGTTAAAAATAAGCCTTTGTTGATTTAACACCCTGGAAGTTCTAGAAGAACCGCTTGTGGACCTTGGGGATTTTTTTCCTGAAGGCCTTGGCCAGAGGATGTGTTAGCCTTTGTTCTTTGACAGACTGTAGATATTAAAAACTGTATTAAAATCCAAGTTGTGTAATTACCATTTTATTTGGACAGCTGGAGAGAGAGTTCAATCCATAAAATATTTGCATTGTTGAACCTGAGTTCCCAAGACCTAAGTAAAAAAACTGGGTGTCATGCAGGTTCTAATCCTGGCACACGGGCTGTGGAGATGGGGGGGGGATCCTGGGGCTCACTGGCCTAGCCTAATTGTCAAGCCAGCAGAAGAACCTGTCTTAAAAAACAAGGGCAGATAGCTCCTTTGGCCTATGCACACACTTACACACAGACACAAACTAAACACTTCACATAAAAGGCAAAAATCGTATGCTTATAAGAATTCAGGTCTACCCTGGACCTAGATAGAGCAACACCCACATCCCAGTGAAGAGAGACTTGCAGCCACGAAGACTATTTGGAGCACACAGCCATCATTAGCATTGTAGTTTAGCTATCTCGCTGAAAGCAGTTAGGAGGTCGTGAATGCCTTCCAAGCCCAGGAAGTACACAGTTGATGGGTAATGATGTGACCTGTATGTCAGTGAAACTATGGGAGGGCACGGCTTTAGTTGTTCAGAAGTATTTTCTAAGATGTGTTCTCACGAAAGCATAGGCTACCGTCTTTCTTATGTTCACTTTAGGTTCAGGTTTGAGAGTTGCAATGGTGAAGGCTCTGTGACTATCACTGGTTGTGTGGTGTCAGTTTGGCCAAGTATTTAAGGAAAAAAGTTCTATTTCTACAGTTCTCCTATTCATAATATCATTCAATATTTATGGTTCCTATAACCAAATGTACCCCTTGCGTATGTCCTCCGCAGTGATAGTTTGTATTAATGGGTAGGGAGCCAGAAGTTTCCCCTCCAAACTCTTAATACCTCATCAATGTCAAAAACACAAACTAGGTGCTGAACATTCTAATTGCCAAAGGTAAGAGTTGAGATGATTGTTCTTTATTTTATTTATCTGTTTATTTGTGTGTGTCTGTGTGCGTGTGCACACGTGTGTGTACACACGTGTCCATGTGTGAATGTGGGCATGACAGCGCGTGTGTGGAGGTCTGAGGACAGCCTGCAAGAGTTAGCTCTTTTCTTCCACCATGGGAATCTCAGGGTTCTAACTCAGGCTGTCAGGTTTGGGGACAGGCGTCTTTCTCCACTGAACCATCTCACATGCCTGAAATTATTTTTGGTGAATATATATCTTTCTATTTCACATTAAGTAATAAATATGTTGGGTTTATTTGCTATAAATATGGTTGAAAAATCTCATAAAAAGTTACCTTAAGGTCCATATACTAATTATATTTAGGACCTTGACCTTGGATCCTGGAAAATAGTTAATCTGGAATTATTATATAAGATGTTTTCATCATTTTAAGGATAAAAAGGAGTGTTTAAGGATATAGCTAAGAGCCCAGGAAAGTTTATTTCTTTTTAATAGTTTTATTGGGGTATAATTCACATATCATACAGTTCATCCAATTAAGATATTTAATGTAGTGATTTTTGAGGTATTGTTTTATTATCACAATCCAACAATCCAGTTGTAGGACTTTTTTTTTTAATCACTCACACAAAGAAACCAGATTCTCCAAGCAGTCACCCAGCTTCCCCTTAGCCCCCAGCCCTGGGCCATCACACCAACTCTCTTCTCCTTTGTGTGAATAACTTATTCTGAACAAATCTGTAAATTTAATCCTAATATGCAGCCCAGCTTGCTTTCATACTTTAGCAAAACTTGGAATGTTTGCAGAACAGCTGTTAGGAAACTTCCTTTCCTCCTAAGCTTCAGTCTCTGCTGTGGGAGAGGGGTCTGCTACAGTAGCAGAGAAGTGGACGGGCCGGGCAGTTCCGCTAGTTGGGCAGTTCCGCTAGTTCCGCTCAGTGAGCAGTGTGTCTCTGAGCAGTAGCTGAGGTACTGTATTTGGAATAGTCTAGACAGAACGCTCTACATTGACCTGGAGCTGGTAAGCTATCAGTTTGTATTTGGATACTTTTGTATCTTTCCACCAGTGGGTGTCAGCATTTGACTAAATATAACTCTTGCTGAGGCCTCCTCTATAAATAGCAGACATCTGCCAGTATCCAAACTGCAGTAACAACACATGACGTGATCAGAATTCTGTTTTTATTATCTTACAAGTAAAAACCTTGTAACAAATCACATTACCAGGGTATTGTCTTTTTTCTTAGCGTTAAAGGATTAACAACTTATTGCCTACTGAACTTGAACTCTGATTTCTAAAAAACCAGTTTCCCTGGAGTTGTCCACTTACAAAGAGTTGGCATGATAAAGCCGTTGCTCTGAAACCCTCGGTGAGAAAAGGATGTGAGTTTCTGTGGAGTAACATTTCAATGGTGTCTATGAGCAGATATAGAGATGTTAAGAAATGTAGCTCTGATTAGCCTTGTCATTTGATTAGCCTAGTCACGGGCAATCAAACACATTAGCCAATTAAATGCTGGAACACTCGTTTGCTTAACAAGCTTTATGTCATGCTGACTGTTTCGTCTCCCATTCTTCTTGTAGGATACCTCCTAGGCAGTGAAAACTATTACACCCACGAGGTCTGCGCACTGATTGAGCCTTTGAACGTTACACGGTGTGCTCTCGATTTCCGAGATGGCGAAGAACCCGCAACACAATATAACAATACTTATTCAACACATGTATTTAGCAAAAGGGCTACAAGCCTCATAGCTAACCACCCACCAGAGAAGGTAAGGTTTCCTTCTTAAGTGTTATCAAAATCTTGTTACTTCTAAAGGGTTTCTGTTTTGTTTTGTTTTCTCTAATTTTAGAGCACATTCCAGTTAGCCAGAAGGGAAGGTTGTTTTTTGTTTTGTTTTTGTTTCTTTGTTGTTTGCTTGTTTGTTTTTTGGTTTTTTTTTGAGACAGAGTTTCTCTGGTAGCCCTAGCTGTCCTGGAACTCACCCTGTAGAGCAGGCTGGCCTTGACCTCACAGAGATCCATCTGCCTCAGCCTCCCGCTGGGACTAAAGGCATGCGCCGAGTGCTGGGACTAAAGGCATGCGCTGCCACCGCTTGGCTTTGCTTACTCTTATGTAATGCTCTATGTGCCCATGCTGTAAGTGGCTAGCAAAACCAGGCTTCTGTTTCCCAAACAAGTGTCCATGTGCAAGGCAAGGGTCCATTATAGAGAACTGTTAGGGATTCAGGGGTCAGAGGAAAGTCCTCTCATCTTGTACTTTTCAGGATTATTTTGGTAACTTTCAATCCTTTGTATTCCCATATTCATTTTAGAATTGGTTGACCGGTTTTTACCAAGAAACAAAAGGTGGTTGCTTCATTTGGTATTCATCAGTCAACCTAAAGGAAATGGCCATCTTAGCAATACTGAGTTTTTAAGATTCATATGTGCAATAGATCAGTTTTCAAGGGTACGCTACGTCATGCGCAGACTTAGGTGCAGGTGAAAAAAGACTTGTGAATAGCCATAAACCCAGATTGTCTGGACTTGGTGTCTATGTTGCCAGACACTAGCTAGGCTCAAAGGGTGTCCCCATGAATTGTATTCACACAACCATAAAACGTCCTTCAGTGAGAACCCACCTAACACAGAGGATTCCAGAAAGTGTGCAGGTCCATCCTACCACATTGTCTCTCTTTGACCAGGCCTGGAGATACTCAGCACAGGTCTTGATGAAGGTTCTGGCTTGCGTACCTGTTCAGACGTAGTGGCCGGCTAATGACTCCCTGTCCAGTATGGAATCTTCCAGCCTCTCTCTTTGCTATTCTTGGTCAGTAGGAGGGATACTCCTTGGTGACCAGTCTCAGCTTTGGCCTCACTTTGGGTTTTTAAGAGCTTCATACTGACATCTCTAAGCAACTGTCTGCCCTCAAACACAAAGAAAGGGAAACATTTTCTCAAATATTTAGAAACGTGTACAAAACAGTATTGTTTCCCAGTGCCCTCATAACTTCAAACAGCTAAGAGGAAGCAGCTGTGGAGAAGTAGTTCTTTGTGGGTGGGTGGCTAAATTGGGCTGGTGGAGAAAGCGTCAGAACTGAGGCGCTAATAGGCCTCAAGAGCTCGTATGCTATGGAAGGGGCGTGGTCAACATGGAACACGGCACTGCTCACAGATGGCATTACAAAATCACCAGAAGGGAGATGGACGTTTCCTGCCAGTGTCTGAGATGTTCTGAGGTAGCCGTCTTTCCCAGTGTCCCCCAAGCACAGGCGCAAGTGAGGAAATGGTAGTGAGTAGCAACCCGGCATCTTCACAAGGCAGCTCCTACAGGGCATCAGATTCATCATCTCACGGTTCCAGGGGCCGCATCTTCTCCCAGAGTTTGACCTAATTCCATGTTAGGCTGTCAGGCACCACTTATAGATTGTTGCATGGCATTTGTTCTAAGCCATTAAAGGAGTTTGCATGCAGTGTTCACAACTCAACTAAAATGTACCTGCTTTTAAGGGGCAGTTGAGGGGGAAAATTGATAGAGCTGTTATGTAACAGTTGAGTTGCTGATGCTGGACACTGCTAATGGCTTTACATGTGTCCAGAAGGGACATCCTTTCTCCTTGATGTCAGGGTGACTCTCACAGTCCTAACACTTATTTAAAAAGTAATTTATTCATAATATGACTTTCTGTTAAAAATAGCACAGCAGCGCTTTGAAGAACTAAAAACAAATCTCTAAGATTTCTGCATCTAATTTCCTAGAAGCTTCCTAAGGAAAACAAAACAAGAACTCCCAGTTGGGAGACTCTTTCTTTTCCCTGGCACAAGTTGGGGAGAAATGTCTTAATTTGGATGTCCAAGATAGAATAGTAGTTTCAAAAAGTTGTGTTTTTCCATTTATACTTTGAATCAGGAAAACATATAAAGAGACTTTACGCCTTAACAACATGGGATTTCTCTCCATTGTGAGGATGTCCAGAGTGTAGATCTTAGGAGCCATGGAGAATAATAGCAAAAGAGGGAAGATCCATTAGCAACTAAATATGAGTGTGAGATAGCTCTGCTGGCCATGGCTGGGTTTTATGTGATACTCAAGTGTCTAGTCATGCTTTCCCAACAGGGATTCCATTTTATAATCTCAGGGTACTTGAAATGGTCGCAGTTAGAGTTGGGGTCCTGGGTTCTATAAGAAAGCAGACTGAGCAAGCCATGGGAAGCAAGCCAGTGAGCATCATCCCTCCACAGTCTCTGCATCAGCTTTTGCCTCTAGGATCCTGTCCTGTGTGAGTTCCTCTCCTGACTTCCTTCAGTGATGAACAGCAATGCTGAAGTGTAAGCCAAATAAACCATTCCCTCCCCAGCTTGCTTTATGGTCATGAGGTTTCATTGTAGCTATAGGAACAATAAATAACATACCAGCTCTATATGGAATCTTCTCCATCTAGACTTCCTGTCCTTAGAGATTAAAAAAAAAATTAGGCCTTTCTATAGTTCAGGGAAAACTTTCATGCTGGGATTTCATCTCCCACTGAGAAGAAATAACATGAAGACAAAGTGATCTTGTACATACTGTTTTACAAGTGTCTTTAGCTCTGTCAGTCAGGATTCCAGAGAGCCTGTTTACCCTTTCACCTGAGTTGTGTTCTCCGCTCTGCATCCCTCATTCTTCCCATTTTCCTTACACTCCACCTCTGTTGAGAAAGTGGTGACCCCAAGTACAGTACTATGGCATGCTGAGTACTCCCAATGAGAGACAATGAACGAATTTCGGGAGGGAGGTGTTTCCAATGTCCTCTGCTGCTTTCTCCCAGTCAGTGGGATGGATTCCTCTTCTCCAGGGCAGGTCATAGAATTCAGAGCTCCCTCCTCCAGCCAGCCAGAAAACTTAAGAATGCTGCTCCCATATTCCTGCCTTTTCACATACCAGTTGGTTATAAAGAAAGGTTGTGGCCTGCCCGAAGGTAAGTTGTTGCCCATGCTCGTCCTAGACAGAGCCAATCATACCCATAGAAGGGATGTTCAGTCAGAGGCACCAAGAGGCCATGCCTTTTTCTGATTTTTCAAGAACTAATTAATTTAGATATAGGAGGGGAGGGGGTCTCATACTGTAGTCTAGGCTAGCCTGGAACTCACACGATAGCCCAGGGTGGCCTCAAACTCAGGACTACTATGTTAAGCTCCCGAGTGCTAGAATTACAAGCATATGACACCATGCTGGGCTTAAGAATAAAATTTCAGATGATTTTTCAATGACTTTTTAATTTATTTTTAACACTTTATGTGGGGTGCAAATTACAGTTGCCTTGTGAATTTCAGTCCTGCCCCCAGGCTACCCCTTGACTGGTGTCTGGACTTGGCTCAGTGCTGGAGGGTGAGTCAGGAAGACCCCCCCCCAGAGCAGAGCTGTGTGCACCCACCAAAGCTCAGAACGAAACCCTGTACATCTCCCATCGTGGTCCAGAGGGACCCAGACTGCCAGTATGACCTGTGTGGATGGAGTGGGAAGTGTGTGTGTGGAGGAGCAGAGGCAGAGCAAAATGGTGTTGGAAGTTTGGATGTAGAGTTTAAGATTGAGAATGGAAGTATTTTTTCATGCATATGTGCACATTTAATTTTATCATTTAACTTGAAATGTCTAAACTCCAAATCAACTTTTGGGTGTCCATTTGAGCTCCCTGTATGGATGGCCCTTCCTCTTATGCATCTGTAGCCCCTTAACTGATTGTCACATACTCCATCAAAGGGATGTATGTATCATTTAAAACAATTTTACAAGAACAAAAAAATAAAGAGTCCCTCTCATCTGCCTTTTTGGCTCCTTCATTTATGATTTAAATACCTCAAATACTCTAATAGCATAATGTACTTATTCTTGGATTGAAGTCATTGATTGTCTCTTGGAGAGTTTTCAACTCATTGGAGAATTCTGTAAGGCACAGTGCAGGGGATATCGTCAGAGGAGCCCCCTGAAGAGAAAGGGCTAACTAGGAATACCACAGATGCTGATGCTACAAATTGACATGAGGAAAAAAAAAAACCCAGAACTTGTGAATCATACATCTTATTTCAAGGAATTAAATTGGCCTTACATTTATTTGACTCAACATCAAAGACTAACAAAATACTGTGTTTACTCAAAAAGAGTTTAAAAACCCTGTAAACTTCTCTTTACTTTTACCTAATGTATCTATTAGTGCATGTCAACATCATAATAGTGAGGTCGCCAGTAGGAAACAACTCATCAATTGATGGTATGTTGGCATACCATCTAAGCTTTTGAAGCCTTGGTTAACTCATCAGTAAATAGATATAAGAGGATGGTTTGGGGTGTTAAATGGCATAGAGAGGCCAGATAGTCATTAGAGTATCTGCTATATAAAGCATTTAATATGTGGTGTGTTGTTGATATTACAGTTTATTTGGGTCAGAGACTTCTATCCCATTCTAGAACTTTGACATTTATGTTTTATTTTGGGTCTTTTGTCATCTTTTGAGTATGTTTACTGAGGCATAGTTTGCATATCATAAAATACACGCACTTAAAGTATATGATTAACTAGGATAACTTAAGAGGTCTTGGATCATCATCACAAGCCTGTTTTCCAAATATTTCATCACTTGAGACAAAGTTCTACCCACTGGTAATGCCTCGTCATTCCTGTCCCAGAATTCCCTACAGCCACAGACAGCCACTTACCTACACTTGCTTCTTCAGAGGATTCAAATCAATGCAGTAATGCAAGACGTGGTCTCTGACTGGCTCTTTTCATATTTTCAAAGTCCAGCTGTGTTATTACTGATTGCTTTGTTGTGATACACCGTGACTAAAAATATTCTGAATTTTATTTATCCACCCCTTAGTTTGTGGACATTTGAATTTTCCTACGCTTTGGCCATTATAAATTATGTTGCAGTGAGCATCCATGTACATTTTACATGGACATTTGGCTTCATGGTTTTCTAGGAATAGGAAGGCGGGGCTGTCAAGCATCAGTGTGTAACATCAAAAACTTCATGTGCTTTTTCCACCTCTACATATATCACTTTCCATTCCTACTAAGAGCAGTTGAGGATTCCAGTTTCTCCACAGCCTCTCCAATATTATTGTTTACTCTTTTAAAAACTCTAAGCATTCAATGTCTATGAAATAGTGTCTGGCTGCAATTTTGTTTTGCGGTCCCCTGGTTCTGAACATTTGTTACATCTTTGGAGAGACACCTATCTAAATTCTCCGCTGAACTAAATTGCCTTTTATTGTTGAATTATTCATGTATCCTGGATGCGAGTCCTTACCACATACATGATTCACAGATACTTTTGCTGCACTAGGTAGGTTGTCTTGAGGTTATTGATAGGAACTGATGCATTTTAACTGTCTCATGCTTTGTATTGAAAGCCCCCATCCCTTTTAACTGATGTCCACAAACTCTCTTTCCAGCCGCTGTTCCTCTACCTTGCTCTCCAGTCTGTCCATGATCCCCTTCAGGTTCCCGAGGAATACATGAAGCCATATGACTTCATCCAAGATAAGCACAGACGTATTTATTCAGGGATGGTGTCCCTCATGGATGAAGCAGTGGGAAATGTCACTGCAGCCTTGAAGAGCCGTGGACTCTGGAACAACACGGTGTTCATCTTCTCCACAGGTCAGTCTGCCAGTAGGCCATCCATCTCTTGGCACAGCCTGGGATGTGGCATGCAGTGGATGGGATGAAGACGGATTGGACAGTTAGCATTTGCTTATGAAAATAAGTGCTAACTGCGGTAGTGGAGCCACAGTTGCAGTGTGAATAAGGAAACAGAACTACATTCCTTCCTCCCTTTTGTTTATATTGCACAATGCAATGAGAGTGTACTTGAAGACCGTTGCTCACAAACTGAGGAAATTAGCAGGTGCCACACATCCACCTGCATCAGGGTGGCAGGTCTCCTGAGTGCCTTGCCAGCCCAGCCATCTTCTGTGACTATCTGTGACTATCACTGGCGCTAACTGAAGGTCTCTGTGTCTGGGCAGACAGGCTATGCCACTAGAAAGACAGGTTAGAAAAGGAGCCCATTAAACTTAAAATTTGTTGTATTAAAATAGTTTTCTGATAATAAAAGCTACTCATTCATTATAGGAAAAGTAAGCACAGAAGAGGGTGAAGGAAAAGTTAAACATCAGCCCCCAAGATGACTGAAGGCTGTTTGCATGGAATTGGACACTTACTGAGTGGAGCTCTCTTACATTTCCTGAATAAGGATGTATATGTTACTCACGAGCTAAATAGTACTCAGAAGTGAGGATGTTCCACTATGGAAACTGTTAAATATCTCAAAGTGGTTAGAGATAGCAATAGAGATACTGGCGTCAAGTGTGTTTGGGAAGAGATGGGATACATTTTTTTTCATGATATATAAGAATGAAAAAACATTTGAAAGTCATGTATCTTTTGTGCCACAATTTCAGATATGTATGTATATTTTAAAAGAGTTGTTCATTTTATAAACATCTGGGCATTTTATTCAATTTAGCAAAAATAATATTAGAAGCCTTTTCACTGCAAAAATGGTAATCACATTGTAACAGGGCTGTCATATCCTGATACTATGATGTCTTAAAGATGCATTGATCCTAGGTCATCTTTGCTGAATGCAGCTTGGTCATGCCCAGGCATTTTAATTATGCTACTGAATTTGATTCAGTGGAGTTTTAGTTAGGATTTTCACATCAGTTCACAGGTGAGAGTGGGGTTGGTCTCCTTTTCTCACTGGCAGGCTCTGCTCTTGGTTGAATTCATGTGGTAAAATAATTAAGATGGTTTTCCCATCTCTTTTTATGATCTGGAGCCTTCTTTGGAGGCATTTTAAAAGTTATCTCCATAGTTTAAATATTTCCTTACTTATGCCTAGGTATGAGTCTCCAACCGTTTTCAGATTAGTTCTTCCTGAGATCAGTGACTGCCTTGATCATACCTCGGATGATTCTACATCCCAGGAAGGTTTCTCTGCCCTTATTTTAGCTTTGCTGGCTTTCTCTGCTTTATTTGGGGGTGGGGACCAAACTTTATTAGGCTGAATTGTTAATCCAGCTTCTTTTCTTTTCTTATCCCTTTCTGTCTTTCTGTCCTTTCCGCCAGTCTCCCTCACTGCTGTGTTTCTGTCCTTTCCGCCAGTCTCCCTCACTGCTGTGTTTCTGTCCTTTCCGCCAGTCTCCCTCACTGCTGTGTTTCTGTCCTTTCCGCCAGTCTCCCTCACTGCTGTGTCACTAGCTGGTGAGTTCTGCCATCTTGCTTCTGCCTGTCAGTGTTCCCGGTGCAGAGTATTGTGACCATGTTGCCGATATCTTTGCAGCCCTTCCTTTCTTTGCTCAGTCAGGACAGCTCAAGGTTACCTTGTGAGCTAGTTCCCATCTCCATTTTATCAAAGAAGGAACCCCAACTTCAAGAAGCTAAGAGATTAGCTACATGTTACACAAGAGAGAGCCAGAATCCAAATTCAGATCTCCCGGAGTCCATATCTAATAACCAATCAATTATCCTTTTAGCTCATCTCCTTGTCTTTTATCTCCCTTTTGGATTTCTGAGCATCTGTTCTCAAAGCCAGCCTCTCCCCAAATCTTTCTAAGGAAAATTTTTGAGTCTTCATTTTTATGCTGAGTCTATGTGCACAGCACATGTGGCCATCTTCCTGTCCCCTCGCTAATTCTATCCCACACCCGTGATTGGGGTCAGGTTGATAGACACAGCTCACTGAGCTCCCAGGCCCTGGAGAAGCCATTGACCAGTTACGTTTCCATCCCTCTGGTCATCGGTTCTTTCACCAGCCCAGAGATCATCCCAGGTCACTGAGACCTGACTCTTTCCTCAGGCCTTCTTCTGGAAGTGATCGGGACTTCTTAACTACATCTAGGAGAGTAAAGAGGTAGTAGTTTTTTGGTCATGTACAAATTAGCATCCCCAGGCTCATGTCCAGAGACCTCAGCCCAGCACCTCTGGCCTTAAACTTTGTGAAACTGTGTGAAGATTCTAGCATTATACTTTGTTTCCCATTGTTAGGTCCTGAGTTTCAGTTAGTTCCCATCTTTCCTGGTCTTTGGCTAGATATTGGTTAAGAGAAGCAGTGTCAGTCACAGTCAAAAGAACAATGTTTTAGCCTGGACTAAATCCCATCATCACGGCTCATCTTTCTAGTTGCTAAACTTCAGGAGTGAGAGCCATTTCTTGACCAGCTAGACCAGTGGTCCTCAACCTCCGGAACGCTGTGACACTTTAATACAGTTCTGTGGTGACCCCCAACCAGAAAATTTTCATTGCTGCTTCATAACTGTAATGTCACTACAGTTATGAATTGTAACTATCTGTTTTCTTGGATGATCTTTTTTTGGGGGGGGGTTGTGACCCTCAGGTTGAGAACCATTGAGTTAGACCATCTTGCCCATATCTATGCCAGCTCTTACCAGAATAAGTAGTCTCACTGAGGTTCTGACTCTAGGGAGAAACCTAATTTGCATTTCTTTCTCCAGAAGGTTCTCTGTGACTATCGACAGTTTATTTCCCAAAGTCACATTTAATAATGAGCACAGCAGTGTGGTTACACACCAGGAGAGAATGCCTGTGCCAAATCCATGTGGTTCATCTTTCCTGGTTTTCTCTCTACTTAGAGATCCTCTTCCTCGTAAGTGCTAGAGTGTTTGTGCATCCAGACTGGTAAATGTTGAATGTGTTAGTAGACAGACCATGCACCAGCTTCTTGGTATCCAGCCTGTGCTCCTTGACAGAGAGATGCAGGTTCTAGGTTAGGCTGCCTCGAGGCTGCTAGCTTTCTGTTTTGAAGATCCACGGGGCATCTCATCCTTTGTCACCTGTCCCTCATCTGAGTGTTTAAGGTGACCTCTCTCTGTCATTGTCTTAAGACCCTCACAGTGCAGTTGTTATGCCTGAGTTCCTGACGTGTTAGCGGCTCAGCACTGCACGTGTACTAAATGCCATTGATTCCAGTCCTTGAATTCAGTGGCTAACTTTGTCATGTGAACTTCACCTCAATTTTAAAAGTGTTACTACCTTTTTATTTATTTACTTACTTACTTATTTGTGTGTTTGTATGTATGCACACACATGTATGGAAGTCAGAAAACAACTTGAAGGTGTAGGGTCTCTCCTTACCTTTTGGTTCTGGGGATTGAACTCAGATTGTCAGGTTTGGCAGCAATCAACTTTACCCTCCGAGTCCTCACCTCAATTTCCAAGGTTTTGTTTCTTGTGCTTTCCCACAGATGTACTGAATCTAAACCCCAAGATTGGGGGCTTTGGAATTTTTGTGCATTGAATTTGAGAACCTGTAAGCTGGAAACAACTTTCATTCATCCTGGAAATTTGCCTTGCTAGGAATAGACGTAGTGCATATGCGCATACATATCCTCCACACTAGGAGAAATGTGTTCTCTGATCACATGCTACCAGAGAAGGATTAGACATCCATGTAAAAAGAAATGAGACCGGGAATGTTTGCTAATGGTTGTGTTAAACACATGTGTGTCTGCCAGAAGAAAATGTGGGGGCTGGAGAAATAGCTCAGTGGTTAGAGTATTGGCTTCCAGAGGACTGTGGGTCTACTCCCAGTACCCACTTGGCAGCCTACAGCCATTGGTAATTCCAGGTCCAAAGGATCAGATGCCTTGCTCACATGTGGTGCAAACACGGATGCAGGCAAAAATCCATACATAAGGTAAAAATAAATGTATTTAATAAAAAGAAAATGTACTAATTTTTAGGTTTTTTATTAAGGCTTAGGAGACAAACTTAGAATTAATTATACTGTTCTTCATGCCCCTAGTGATATAAATTACAATCGATTGATTAATGTCATTGCTAGGGATTTGATGAAGACTTTTTTTTTTCTTATGTTAGGGATCAAAGCAAGAGTTTCACACTGATGCAGGCAGTTTACCACTGGCCACAGCTCCATCTCATGCCACTCTTTGTGTGTATGGGATTAATTTTACCCTAGCAAATATTGCTTGTCTCATTACTCATATACTGCTGTATTTTTTATACAACAGTGACCCTTTCAATCCTCCTCTGATAGCATGTCATCAGAGTTCGAGTTCAGCTTTCCTGCTAATGAGTTTTGATGCTTCTGGCTCAGTTTCCCCATCTGGTAAATGACCATTTGTTCATTTACTCGGCCTCTGCTGGTACTGGGGAGAGAATGGAATGACAGGTGTTTAGCAGGATCAAATCCCCCTGTGTGCGTGGAGGGAGACACACTGAAAGCAGGCAGGGTTTGGTGGAGGCTCTGAGAGTGAAGAGGGTTGAAAGGTCAAAAATGTGGGGTGGCAGCTGCAAGAGGAGGTTCAAGAAATAGGAGAATTTGGGCTGAGAACTCCTGCTCGGAGCACTTTTATTTCTAGCAATGTTGATAGCTTGTCAACCTGTAGTCTCCAGTGCTGGGCACAAGGGTGAGGGCGGTCTTGACAGAGATTGGGTGCATTCACAGAGCACTGCAGAAGGTGCAGACTCTGCCCAGCGTGCTTGTGTTCACAGGCCGTGGTGGATTCATCATGCACTTGGGATGTGGACTGGGGAAATCGGGAATGTGTGAGGCAGACCCGGCTGCCACTCTGATTACAGTGAAGTTGCTGTTCACTGAGCAGGCTCGGCAGCAC